AATCTGTATGCCCCACCAAAGTCAAACATTTTAGTTATGGTCTCCGATATGCCTCTGCCCTTTTAGCACGCTTTCGCATTGGCACCTGCAGCTTGAACGCCAGCCTTTTCAGTCGTACGTTAGTTCACAGCCCGGCTTGCAGCTGCGGGTGCCAATGCGAAACCATATCTCATTTCTTACTTCATTGCCCTTCATACAGTTTTCAACGACAGTGTCTCTTCGGCCAACTTGAATCATTGGTAGGACACCTCCTTGACATAAATTCACTCTCCGACAATGCTCTCAAACAACTTCTACTTTACGGATCCCCTTCATTCACGTTCAAAATTAATTGTCAAATAATGGTTCTAACTCAAGATTTCACTATTTCAAGTAGACGCTTTGTTTCAACCTAATTTATCATTATCAATATTTCTTTGGTGTGTCCTACCAATCACAACATTAGCAAGGGTGGGAGGGGGGAAGGACCTGCGCTTTTAGTCTTCTGAGTTTCATTCTTTATCTAAACCCCATCTGTCTTATTATTGTTTTGTGTATTATATCTGTTCGTTAGGGTATGTATTGTTTTATCTTTGTATTAAGTTTATTGTTTGATGGCGGCGTTAATATAAGTTAACCAAACTTGAGTACGCCGTCATCGTGTCTGTATTTCTTTATATATGTTTTAATAAAAAAAAAAAATGTATTAAATTCATATTCATTATTAATTATCCTAGGGTAGTTAAGAGATTAATCATCATCAGTACGATACATTATGATTTCATAAACAATTCTCTAAACACTTCAAACAAATATCGGCAAACTATGTTTACTCCCAACCCCAGGTGCACAAGTTACAGGCATCCATCCATTCTGCTTATTGCAGTTTTCCAGTCACTTCAGTTTACCTTTATCCTCATGTATCATTATATCAATTCCCCTAACAGCTGGGTGGTCCCCCAGTTGTCACCATCAATACAAAAAGATATCCATAAACAGTTCCCTAAATACCTCCTATCGGATATCAACAAAATCACATCTTCTATTATCCTTGGCCATCCATTCTCCTTATTGCAGTTCTTCTATCACTTGAGTTTAACTTCATCATTATGTATGGTGAATCTCCTGAAGGAGAAAATCAACAACTGAGTTAGAGCTCTAACTTGGCACTTCCGCGCACCTGCAAAGCTAGCGTGTTACACCTAAGAGTGTTTATATAACCGGTTATATATACAGATACAGACTTAGCCTAGACGTAATGCTGTAACGCTACTTGAAACTTCTTTACCCTGGCTAGTCATGTACCTCGGTCACCAATAGTGATGAGCCATATTGTTTGCCCCCCTCCCACCCCTAGCAATGCAGATGTTGCTGAAGTTTGCTCAACTTCCAAACCTTTTAGCACACAGTATAGAAGACTCTGCACGTTCACCCTTCATGACCCTGTCTGCATCTGAATGACCTCTGCGGCTCCAAAAACTCACCTTCAGGATATCTCCTGTCATGGCTGACAACAGGTTGTAGGGAACGTGACCCCTGGTGGTCTTCTAAGGTCAAAGGTAATGGTAAGGTCATCAGCCGTAATTTGATGCCTGATGACATATTTACTAACAACTGTATGTGCGCTGAACGACGTTCCCCATATACCACATAATCCAATTTGAGAGAAAATGGGTTTGGCCTGTTCTGTGGTCATCTATCTCATTTTGCCCACGGGTAGATTACAGGCAACACGACTATAAATTGAGTCTGATGAAAATGGGAGAAAATTACCCATATAAAAGGGATGGACATTGTCTGATAAAATTTGGAGCTTAGAAAAGATTGGCATGCATTACCAATTTAGATTGGTATGCAATGTTAGAAAAAAAAAACATAAATAGATAAACTGTTTAAAAGGTATTTAGTGTCATACACTACATTATCCATGACCTTTATAAAACTGCTGCCTTCGCTTTTCCAATTAATTTGTCCCTTAACTTTATTTGTTTACAAATTGGAGCTGATCAAGACAGAAACATTTCATTACCGGAAGGTCATCAATTTCTATGTAAACAAGCGTGTGTCAGAATTAAGGGAAGAAAGATGCATCATATTGCCCTGGGGTCTCAAGATGATGCATATAAGTGTGTACTACACTTACCAACCATCCTATGTTTGATACGAAATGTAATCAAAACCAACACACATATGCATTTTGGTTTGTATTACCTTAGTCATTGAATTTCTTTTCATTGAATTGAGTACTAGTATAGTATGTGATAAGGATGAAACAAGTAAATAACAAGTTACAGGTTTAAAGAAGTAAAATAGGAAAAGACAATTGACTGGAGTAGAGTGCCCAAACACCAACAGTCGTTTATTCGATTATCGTAAACGTAAAACTGTGGTAGATTTGATCAACTCACAACTGTAATAAGCACCCTTTGTATTAGCCGTGCAGAAGTAGTTTGGTCCACATCGTAGCCATTGCAACTTGAATATGGGACTCAAGGAGCTAGATGTGGATGGGCAACAGGCTAGCATTAGAGTTCCTTACGCGACATTTTAGAACATTTAAAGCACAGTGAGAAGTGTTATGTTTTATACATAGAATGTTCACATGCCAGTAGATTAGACTTATGATTGCTTAAAAGTTTTCCAACATTCCTCATTCCATCATCATCATGATCATTGAGGAGGACCTGCGCTTCACCTAACCGACGGTCGCCTTTTAAACTATGCCGACGTGGGAGTAGAGTTGTTTGATGTTGCCTGTAGAATATGCGGTGGCGGAATATTCTTAAAAGGTAATGTAGCCGAGTCATGGTCACTGAGCCGGAATGCTCTTTCGTGTCTTTTCACGTCTTGGCTCTACACTACAACGATCTTGACGAGACATGCTTTGCAAATGCATCGCCGACTTTGCATTAATGGTTCTACAAGGCCGTCTGTGCTTCAAAGGATGCTAGATGAAGGTCACGCTCATGTATGGTAGATAGTATATGCACTTATGTCAACTCCCGTAGTTGAGTACGTTTGTTTTGCGTCTTCGGTGCAGTGGGCACCAAGGTAGGAGATAGCTGTAGTACAGCTAGCGCCACTTTGATATTAGTTTGGAAGCAAACAGTGAACATGAAAGTTGAAGTCTTTGCGATATGGTTTTAGGAAGTCCTCAAACCGCAACATTTGACATTAAACCCTGACAGAGACTATCAAAGGAGGGTTCAGTCTTTCTCAACATGTGTCATTGGTTTCAAACATAGCTTAGAAGCTAGTGCTAGTCTTCTCCATTGCCTATCAAAGCACAGTTACATGCATAGTGGATACGTTTTAAGGATGCAGTCCTACAAGAATGTTGTCATGTGTTGCAAAACTTTCGGAAGAAACTTTTGAGTGCCTTTTAAATTGAGGTGGATACAATTCGTCCGTCTGGCCACTAGGTGAGATGATTTGGGGGCCCCGTCTGCACTCCAGCTATTTGCTGAAGTTTGGAGGAATCCCAGAGGCGTTCTGTCAAAATTGGCGGTAACCATGTGGTAATGGACTGCTTTCATCTTTGCACTGCGGTCCAGAGTCTGCTGATTGAAAGAGGAAATTGCCTGCAAAGTTAGAGTACACACCAGTTGAATGACTGAGAAATTATTACTTTGGGGGTGGTTATTTTTAACCCCGTCCTTGGCTGAAGACGAAATTACTTGACGGAAGTTTGATGTTCTTCCTCCCACCGTTGCATTAGAATCACCATTTAAATTGCACATCTGCAATCCACCTTTTCTTTCACAAGACATACAAATGCAATTAAACCCTCAGGCAGTAATCGAAACGTAATGCTATCTACATTAAACAATAAAGCACTACATTTGACTTTGAAACAACGTAAAGGATTGGAAGAATGTTATTTCCAAATCCCAATCGTTAAGTGCATACATAGTACATTAGGTCCCACCCAGAAAACCTTTCAAGAGCATTGAAGTCTTTGCACGATGGATTAAATCATTTACCACTTCCATCACCTCACAAAGGTGCCGCTTCTGGCTCGGTGCCAGATGGAGTGATGTTTTTGTCGTCTTTTGTGCCAACTCATTACCTGTTAGATAAAGACATCAGCAACCACATTTCACACATGGGTGCCTCTCCTCAGAAGATCGTGGATGTCATTTTCTGACAGAAGTAACAGCAGGTCGGGTTTAAGGGCTGCGTTCTGGAGGCTTAGTTTAGTAAAAGTGTAATCTCTAAAAAGTTTTTAAAATTTGTTTCGTGTATTCACCTGAGAATGCTACCCTAACTCTGACCCTAGCCCGAATCCCAACTTTTACTTTAGAGCATAATTTCCTTTATCAACTTTTCTAATGCATAAGATACCTACATCATGTATGCTTGTATGCTTAAAACAATCTCGCGAGAAAGTCTATATTATTTTGCTGCTCGGAGTCATTTACTCTTTCTCTCCATCTCTTCACACTAACTTATGACATGTATTTGGTTCAGACTTCCCATGAGGCACTCTGTAACTTACCGATTTCTGAATCGAAGTTGAACTGTAATTTCCACCACAAGAAATTGGACTTACCCAAATATTCGACTGACCAACTACAATCTTTGCCGAGGAACTTTTTAACATTTTGGAATCTCCAATTTCTTGTGTTGGAAATTACAGTTCAACTTCGATTCTGAATGCCTTCTACCAACACAAATTAACTTTCAAACCAACTTATGTATTTCTTCATTCAATTCATGGTTCAGGATTGTCAATGTGTTCAACTTGTTACGCCAAAACCAGTTTCAGGTAGCATCCACTACCTTTCGTCAGTGACACTTTCTTCACTTATTTGCATATCAATCAATAGTTCGTGCTTATAAACCTGCATTTCTCCTGCAGTTTCTTATTGCCACTGACGAAAGGTAGTGGATGCTACCTAACCGTTTCCAAAATCATATCCAGTTGCTTGAGTAACTGATTTTGTGGCGTATCTTATTACCTAGATGTCTAACCTTCACCGATATTCAACTGGTTCTTTTGTCTTGTGTTTTTCTCACAGTTCATCAATGGCGTGTGGCAGTTGGGGTTCCTGATGTGTGACGTGTTCGTGGCGCTGGACGTGATGCTGTGTACGGCCTCCATCTTTAACCTGGTCGCCATCAGCATTGACAGGTGGGCCATTTTTTCTTACATTCCAACATCTAATCACAAGACGTGGTGACGGCACACTCAAGTTTTTCTTCAACTTATATTAATGCCGCCACCAACACGGGGTAATACAATACTCATTTTCACCTGAGCGAAGTGTAAAGTGTAAAGTGCCTTTCCCAAGGGTACAAGATCGGTGGCATGTCAGGACTCGAATCCGAGACCTTTTGATTCCGAGTCGAGCACTCTGCCGGTACGCCACACGACCCCACACATGGGCCATTTTTCCTGATCTTTGATGACCCCTAACGGTTGCTCTGACGTCATAGACCCAAGCTAAGGTCGGCGTCATTTCTGTGATTTGTAAACGCTTTTGTCAGGCGGCAACTTAACAAGTACAATCTGTGCATACAGCTAGGCAAACGCCCGGCTTTTCATCGTGTGTCAGAAGCAGTCTGCGTCAAAGCCGCTTTTGTGTTTAACTGCTTTAGACAGCATGATGATAATGACTACAAAATTCATGACCTGGTGCTACTTGTTATTTTAAGTCTGAAGCAAAATGGCCGAAAGAACCGTCATTTGAAATTATACGCGTGTAGAATAAAAGTTCGAACTAAAGTTGACACATAGCTTTTTAGCAAAGTGAAACTCAGTCCAACCATAAATTCTACCATGCAGCACGTAACAATGCTAGCGTATCACACCCTCCTAATGTCTACACTTCAGTTATTTAACTTTTAGGGCCAACCATTAGTCCTTCCCATCAATGATATACGGGAGGTTGGACCCAATATCTAACATCAGCATCAGCAATACGAAAGTTTAACCCGTAATTGAACCTTAATCAAGATTTTGAAGCCCATAATAATGATCTGATCCCCGATCTGCACAGTAGCCAGAGCTCGTAAAAGCCTTCGATGTTTGCCTAAGGTATTGAGAATAACATTACACCTGTCTTTTCAAACTACCATACGGTTTATACTTATCATCTACTGGAGTACACTCATTGATTTTGGCATGGAAAAGCTCCGATGTCAATAAATGTCCTGCGTCCATCCTGTGCCTGAATCGGCAAATACATGAAACCTAAGCCAGTAGCCATTTTCAATTGTATGCTTCGTGTGCATAAATCTATAAACATGGCGTGGATCGAATGGCATTTAATCAGGAGCAGACATGGTCAATGATAGTAGTTGATTCTAGCAATAGTACACGTATTATACATCATCAATCATGACAGCTTTAATCAATACTTGCATTAACGGAGCAAGGCTGACAGAAAGGATAATTTACAGACTGCAGTCTTTAAATGAACTAAACTCATGGCCTCTTTAGTGGATAAGACCTATGCTTACTTGCACAGCTACATGAATTTACCTTTCCAGGGCAGTCCACTCTAGTTACCTGCTACTCTGTCACTTATACAAAGCTTAATGTTCAAACAAACAGCGATGGTGTCTAAAGTATTCCCTTCTATATCATATCCGAAAACCCACTAAGTATAGTAAAAGTGGGATCTTTTTCCTTCCTCTGTCTTCAAAAAATAAGTCAACGCCAGTAGTTTTTAGGAGTTAACAGTAGTTAACAGTTCATCAGTACTTGCAATTAGCCCTCGGGCATGAATTTGTAATAAAACAATTATGTTTATATTGCAGGTTTTATGCCGTGACGTGGCCAGTGCGTTACTCTAAACACAAGTCCAACAATAGGCTGGCCATCACCATCACGCTGGTGTGGACCTTGTCCTTCGGTATCTCCGCACCGCTTCTGTTCGGGTCCAACTACCCTGCCACGGGGGAGAGGTCGCCTGAAATGTGCGGGTAGGACAACGTTTTTTTAATGCTTTTGCCCTGTTTCCACTTCTTCTCCTCATTCTTCCTATTCGTCTTCTCTAAACAAATAAAGTCAATGACCTGCACCAGACGTCTGTCACCAGGGTAACTGGTGCTGTAGCAGATACCCTGTGGTGTTGGGTTACATTATGAAGCAGGACAGAGTTGGAGGGGCTACTGACCATATACTGTATATGAATGTGTTTGAGTAACAATTAACAGAGAAGTAGTTTGTTGGTAGTCTGCCTGCACGGCAAATGTTCCCTCTCTGGCTGGCCAACCCCTCTGGCCAATCATATCCCCTTTTTAGGCTGATTTCTACTATTTATTCAGCCTGCAAAATGAGTCTGGTGGAGTCTAGTTTGTTGGGCTAGACAGATGAATCACTTGCAGTATCTCGTGTACAAATGAACAACTATAACAAATAGCTTTCATATTACAAGAAGATCGTTAATCAAGCACAGCTAATTATAAGTTACAGTAAGCCGTGGGGGCTGATTAATCTTCTTGATTGCAATTTTCGGATTTTAGGATTTATGTTTCAACAAGCAACAGAAGTTTCAAGGACCTTCAAAAGTCAATTACTTCTTTGCTGAGCTAAATCCTATATGACTGGTTCAAACCTTTCAGTCTTGTGCCCCAGCCAATAACAATAACAACAGTAACAATGACAGGGACCACCTCTGCCGTCCATCAGTAGTCGCATGTGTCCTCATGTGGCTGTAGAGTCCCATTTTTGCACGAAACTGTTGGTTTCAGATTGGGCTGGACAGCACAGCAGTGTACGGGGTTGGCCACTCTCTCCTTTGATATGAATATAATGAGATGATGAACCTAACCGTTTCTGATTCTCCCATTACAGCATCTTCAACACGAACTACATGATCTACTCCTCCATGTGCTCTTTCTTCATACCCTGCACGGCCATGCTGGTGCTGTACTACAAGATTCTCAAGGTGCGTTTGTTTTCTGTATCTGCTTGTTTGTCTACTGAATTTTCAAATGGTTCTTGATGTATTTGTCAAAATCTGAAAAAGGACTTCATTTGGCCTTACGCCTTTGATAAATGTAAAGATGAAATTCTTGATTTCCTCCGAGATATTAGACGTGAAAGTCATATTTTATGCCAACCTTTTCAAATTCAAAATGGCTAGGCTTAACGGTACTAAGAATATTTTTAGCAGTGATATTAACCAAGCGACGTGGACGTCATCATAGTAAGACTGTACTAGATCACGACCTCAAATGGCAAACAGAAATTACAATAGCTAAGTCTGCGTTTTTCATGCTTTGCAGAAAATCAAGGAGAGATCGAAGAAAATGGCCAAGAAAATGCCGAAGTCTACTTCAGCCGGGATGGTCTGTGAGGACACGGTGATCGCACACACCACCACAAGCTCCGGGATTGCCATGAAGGAGAACGGCGCTTCCAAGAAGACGCTGAGCACCCCTGTGTTGGACGGGCACGCCGTCTCCGTGGTGGACGCCAACTCCCGCCCTTCGAGCGAGTCTGACATCAGCGTTGCCATGGCAGCGGAGACCAATCAGAGCGACGAAGCCGTGAGGACGCCGAGAGGCACCAAGCTTCCCAAGACGCGATTGGACGCGATCAAGAGCAAACTGAAGGGGAAGGCCAAGGACGAATTTCCCAACAGAAGGGAGCAGAAGGCCATTAACGTCATGAAAATCGTCATTGGTAGGTATATTTTGCCGGTATACCAAGAAGCTACGATGTAGTTGTATCCAGAACCCTGTCTATCTATTTTATGCCTGAATGTTAGTTAGGGTTAGGTTCAGGCACGGTTGACGGTTCTGGATAGGCTCACCGTATCCAAGAATGTAGATTTGACCCTGTCTCAGTTCTGGATACGTGTGGGCCATCCAGGACCGTGCCTGGGTATGGTTTTAGACAAAGCACGGTTCTGGATACAACAAATAAAGTACATGTACACTAGACCATACTGTTGCATGAAAGTACATAAAAGAAACCGTCTGACGTCAGAATTATGTACCATCGCAAGGGTTGTACTGCAGGAGAATTAAAATAAAAACGTATTTGTCATCAGAATTACAACAAATAACACTTCTCTACCAGCGCTCACATCAAGGCATTTTTGTTTTGTTCCATCACTTTCAGGAGTGTTCCTCATCTGCTGGACGCCATTTTTCGTCACCAATGTCGTTCGCGCATGCTCCACTTGCACTATTCCCGACACCCTCTTCTCCATCGTCACGTGGTTGGGGTACCTGAACAGCGGGATGAACCCCATCATCTACACAATCTTCAACGAGGAGTTTCGAATCGCCTTTCGGAAACTACTGTGCAAAGGACAAGGACGATAGACACGCCGTTAGAACGTTGTCACCAACTGTCGTCCTTGGTTTGGGTCTAAAGCCGCGTTGAGAAGCGCTTAGCCGCGGCAAAGTGGACGGACTCTGGCAATAAACGCTCAGCATTGGTATTAATGAATGTGGCTTCATGGAGAGAACACAGACAGTTTTAAGAAGTTGAGTTGAGAAGAAAGAAAAGGAGGTTTGTCATATTTGAATGTACAGGTAAACATAAACGTCAACGTACACTACCATTACAAAACAGAACAGTCCTTCAACTGCAGAAGATAGAATTTAATCATCTTTGCTTTTCTGCATTCCATCGATATCAATTGTATCATATTGCACCTACTCTAGGGCTCTATTTTTGAATAATATAAAATGAATCATTTTTAATGTTGTGTGTAGACTACCAATTAGAAAACACAGATGATTGTCCTTAAAAACCCTAACTATATTTTGTCTTAGAGTACAGGGTTAGCTATAATGTATGAATTTTGAAAGAGTAAATTTATATCTTCTAATCTACCTATTATATATTACTCCAGACAAGAGACATGTATCTATATCCAACGTGCCTGGTGCAAGCTTCCGCAGTTATGTCTGTAAAGCTACAACAAGTAAATCCATGAAATGACATCTTCGGGTGCATTGATTTTCATCTCATTTCTACAGAGGATGTCATCCAGGAAATTTACTTACTGTGGCCCGATTCAAGGTGTCTTAAAAGCTGTAATCATGTTATTCATGACTTCTTAGGAATAATAGAATTCTTCATGATTATAGAGTATCGTTAATAGAAGGGTTTTTATGACTTTTACAGAGGTCGGTACCCAAGGCACACTGATCATATTGTATACATTCAGATTTTTGCACTAAACATTTTAGCGCGCTAATGCTATGATACTTTCGTTTATTAGGTAATAGTACACATGGTAAACTTGCTTTTTTGTAATGTAATGCCACCATCATTTATTGTTTTTTATTTATTTATTGCTTTTGCTTCTAATTGTTATTCAGTGACTATCACAGATATTATCTCAGTATGATGATAATATAATTAGCACAATCATGAATTATACATAATTCTATCAATTTCTATGTATTATACACAGGTCTTGGTCTTGGCAAATTTTTGATGATGATTGTTGTACACAGGATTGGTTTTGCTTGCATGGGTTGCGATTGTCATACTTATATATAGATTTCTATCGATATACTGACACTGACTTCTGTTGTTTTAAAAGGATCATGATTAAATCTTTACAAAATCAAATAGTTGTATCATCTATCTTTTATTCTATCATTATTTTGGGAGGCAAAAATGAGATGACTCATGGAAAAGTTCCTTCGAACCAAAGTAATAATTTAGTAAAGCAAAGGAAGATACTATTCAGGTACAATACTAGTTGTGGCCAAGAGATGACTCTGAAGTTTTTCGCAAATTTTTCTCGGTAGATATTTTCATTAGTTAGCAAACTCAATGGCAGAACAATGATGATGCCAGCGGTAATACCATTGTAGTTTGAATATATAGCACATAGCAATCTAAAGTTATCATCACACACGATGGAATAAAACGTGGCATGATAAATTCACACCACACATTAGTCCACACACCACTGGAACTTATCCCTTATAGCAGCTAAATGTGTCCCTAGTTTGCGGTCACGGCACCACGAAATCCCACCTGACACATCAGACATGCCTGCCACGAAACTCATCCAAATATCCGGGGCAGCGGCTTACATAAACCCACGCCACGCTGCTTCTCAATATCAGGAATGTGCATGAATATCTCAAAGGCAAACGTCTACCGGCCCTGCAACATATTGTCTGATGCAAGTATGACTGACGGATATGCCGGTATCAACTAGGCACCATTGTAGCCAAGCATATGTCGTGATATTCAAACCCTCTCCAAGGTCCTTACAACTTCTTTAGTTAGCAAACTCGACGGCAGAACAATTCTGGTGATGCCATTGTAGTTTGAATAGATAGCACATAGCACACTAAGCATCAAAATGATGGCATAAAACATGGCATGACAAATTCACATTCAAACCCTCTCCAAGATCCTTACAAGTTCTTCGTGACATCTATACACACATAGAACCCAATATGCCTAACATAGTAATGAATAATGTTTGCAGGACACGGTGAAGGACACCCGTCTACTTCTTCAATGCCTGAAGATACTGGTATGACCTGTGAGTCAGCATTCTTAGAAGTACATGTCCCTCAAAGTACGTTATGTAGCATGCATTCATAGACTGTAGACTGAGAAATCAATAAGAACTTTAACTCCAGCTGACACCATGTGACATTACCAGAAGGCCCTGACATTGCTGCAGACACATGTCTATAGCCCTTGGACACTAACGGCGGAAGAAAGAAAACTGTGGAACAAGAATACCAAGATAGCAAATCACTAACAACTTCAAACATGGCTCACAAGGCAGACCTATACCCCTTGGACACAAGCGTTTAGAAAAAAATTCATGTGTAAATGAGAATCCAAAGATAGCGAACCAATAATAACTTCAAACGCAGCTCGACAATGCACTACAGTACACGAAGGCAAGTCACTTACGTCAGCAGACAAATACCCCCTGGACAAAAGCCTTTAGAAAAAAGGGATGTGTAGGTGAGAATCCCAAGATAGAGAACCAAATAATAACTTCAAACACAGTTGAAAAGGCAATACAGTACACGAATGTAAGTCACTTACCGCCGAAAATACCCTATGGGCAGTAAAAAAAGGCCTGTGTAAATGAAAATCCCAAGATAGCAAACCAATAACTACTTCAAACAGCTGCAGTGCACGACATCACCTGAAGCTACCGGTCTTCCTGTGTGTAGAAAGACGTCTTAATCGTCAGGATACAAGCCGTAGGAAATTTAAAAGTAAAAAAAAGCTAGATAGCGAACCAACAGCACATCTGGCAGTTGATGACATCACACAGAGCCACCTGCCTTGGTGCAGACAGATGTCTACAACCCCTGTGCTCAACCGGCAAATGAAGAATAAAGGAATGTATTGAGAACGACACGCCAAGAAACAGTTACTCAAGCAACTGGATACGATTTTGGAAACAGTCAGACGTTTCAGGTAGCATCCACTTTTCGTCATTGACACTAAGAGACTGCAGGAGAAATACAGGTTTTGGCGTATCTTATTACCTGGATGTCTAACCTTCACCGACGTATTTTTTTTCAGAATATGTTTCGAACGTATGCTATACTAAATGACCTTGAAGGGTATGAAATATTGTAGAGCTTGTAAAACATTATCAAAAAAGTAATCCTGTAACAAAGACTATTAAGTATGATGGATTGATCATCTCGCTTGTCCTTGAAAATCTTTGCACACATCGACGGTCGAAGTGTATGAAAAATGGTTTAGATTGTAAAATATTCTCATTACAATGTGGTAACTCAGCAAGCCAAACTGTGAAAATCCCATGATTTGGTCTGGCCACAATAGAAGAGTCTTATCTTATAAACACACAGCTGCAAGCCTAAATTATAGCATCCATCACAAGGGATCAATTATAGATGCAACATTTATTACACTTGGTATTTCCTGTCATATTATGCCCTGCAGACTACATTATACACAGTACAGGGTATTGAAACTAATCCTAATATTCTATCAATGCAACGATTTTGAAACTGAAAAATGTGTCTGTTCTAAGTTGGCTCCAAGGACTGTAAGAGGCTTATCCCTTTGTTTTGGTTTTGCATATCGTTTCTATATGTTATGCAAGACTGGGAAATGACAATACGTTAATCATTCTGCTCAATCAATAACCAATGCTGGAGGTAATATGAGTCGACTTTGCTGCACAAAAGTTAGGTTATGCGATGCGCTTGGGCTTGGGGTGGAAAGAGGGCATTCGATTTCAATTAGATCACCCAATTACATGGAACAATCAAGTGATTGTTGTTCGATTGTAGTCCTATCGACTGTTAGCTCTTTTGGGTAGTTTCATGATTGATTTCTAAGAAGATCTTTAGTTCTGTACCTATTAATGCTACACACTTTCATTGACTTTCATTTACGTTTGTTGAGGAACGGTCCAGGAGTGAAATTAGACTAAAGTAGCATACGAAAAGCTTTTAACTATTCATGAACCCAATTGACATAGAAACCTTTGGTCAAGTATTGTGTTTTTACATTCCAACATGTAATCACAAGACGTGGTGAGGCACACTCAAGGTTTTTTCCAACTTATATTAATGCCGCCAACAAAATAGGGGACAATACAATACTCATTTTCACCTGAGCGAAGTGAGGAAAGTCCCTTTCCCAAGAGCACAAGATCAGTAACATGTCAGGACCCGAACCCAGGACCCCTTGGTTCCGAGTCGAGCACTCTGCCGTTGCGCCACGCGAATCCATGTGACGCAATTAGTTTGGGTCGTCTCTGGCAACATAAAATACACATACTTCTACCACACATCCACACTATATGTATATTCTATGTTCGGATACAGAATTCCTAGAAATTGTGAATTTGGGGTCAATGATTCATCCAGCTATCCATATCCTTAAGCTAGGTTTTATAAGATATATCAAAAAAGTAATATTTTGATACAAAAATCCAAGAAATTCTACTCGATCACTACCAAGGCCTCATAAGATCTAGAGCAAAATCCACGTAATAATTTATAGTCACCAGTCAGAGCTTAGACGGTAGGGATAACCGGGAATATCTAGGTACAATAATCCATGTAATTATTTTCAGTCACTGAGTGGGTCACAATTGGCACTATTTCGTCGCCTTGCGCGTTCCCTCAGGACACAGTGCAAGATTACTGTTAGTGCCGTATCTTAACTAAGCTAGTAATAATATACTTTAAGTAAGAGTTGATACCTTTTGACGCCAAAGTGAGGAAATTTCTGACAGTAAGGAATAAGGGGGATTAAAACCCCCTACTGTGGGAATTGTTGCGTCATCACTGGGAAAACTTGTGACGTTCAGATTAGATCTGGATGGACTTGAACATTGGAAAAGAAGGGAGGGAGAAATGTGATTTGAAAATTGAAATAAATGGTGTTTTGAGAGCAAATGAAAGAGTACTGTTGCTGACAGTTGCTGATCTATTACATTTTGTATGAGATTTAGAAAATGACAAGTATAACGATTATGAAAATCAGAGAGAGACCAATAAGCCAAAAGACCAAAAGAGGGAGAAATTATCAATGGATATGCAGTAGGTTTTACCATACACTGTGTTACAAATGTCAATCAAAATTGCAACAAAACGTTCATCTTCTGATTCGTCAGAATAAGTATCAGCAAATATTAACCAGATATATATTTAGTATATTTGTCATTTCAGTACATAGAAGATGAATACTATAACGTTATATATTAGACCGTTTGATATTAGTCACATCTTTGTATTAAGTGTTAAAGGCTTCGTTGAAAGCTAGGTATATAAGCTAGGTATATGTAGACAGGCTTAAAGTTTCATGGATGTTCAATATTTCATCTGAACGTGGCAGGGTTTATCTATTACCTCTCTTTATCGTCTATACCCAGATTTATGCCGTCTTATGGCTTCAGACATTCATCAAGTTTTTCATCACAAAGTCTCTGGTGGCCCGTAATCTGCAAAACCCACAGATCTCTGTGGAAATAAATTCTTGCTCCATTTAAGTCACCGAAAGCCTGGTATATTTCCCAGCAAAATCTAGCCTCTACCAGACACCGCGGATCGCTGGAAAAATAGTAAATATTGGCCGAAATAAAGGGATAGTATACCAGGGGAGTTAGCAGGCCAGAGAGGATCCAATATGCGACCCACTCCCCTGGTATACTATCCCTTTATTTCGGCCATTTCTACTATTTTTCCAGCGATCCGCGGAGCCTGGTAGAGGCTAAGCAAAAACGGAAAGCGTTTGGTTTCTGCTTTGACGAGTACTAACTTTCCCGATTTCACCGGGCAGTCGAAGATTTGCTCGGATTGCCGGTAACCTTCATCGTAAATGTAATTCTCGTTGATGATAACCTCGTCTCGCCTCAGAGTAACACGGGATCAAAGACGTCATTCCAAACCACTGTGGAAATCACTCATTCAATGTGCAAATGACATATTGAAGACCTCCGAGACCCTCTGATGTTCATAAAGCCACAGCAAGTAAATTTTATAGATGACATCCTCCGCAGACTCCACATCCAATGCGGTAGGGCGAAAAAACAGGATTCTTTCATTTTCAAAATTTATGGTCAT